CAAAAATAGACTGAATAAAACAACAAACACAGTGAAAAATAGTCATGCAAATAAAAGCAAATAACATAGTTTACCACCTCTAAATTTACGGAGTTGGAGCATTTATCATAGCCGGAGTAACAGATTATGAGGGGTGCAGGTTGAGAATACTTTAAGGATTTCCTTAAACTTTTCTCAACTGCTCTCATGAAATTAAGCTGAACAAGAAAAGCAATGGAGAACATAACTCATTACTTAGGAATAACCAGAGAAACAGGGAGACAGTTAGAAATCTTTTGCAAAACACTTACACCGATGAAGGGACAAGGGACATTGGTAACTTTCACATATCTTGTTTCAGTAGCTGCAGGGCCAAAACGTAGTCCTCTGACTGCATTCGACTTGAAGTTCGTGTTTTTGTGACGAGGAAGGTAGAGAGAACAACATCAAAACCATAACACGATCGCGGCACAAGCTCCAGCGCCCTCTAACAATCGCCCAGCGCTGTTCTTCGTCAACGGACGGACGGCCGTCCGGACGGACGGACGGCCGGGATTATTTTTACAGACCTCAGTTCCTGTCCTTGAAGTACCTACCGGTGTCCATTGCTAACTTGCGTTTTTCAGGGGTCAGGTTCTCGTTAGTGAAAATTCTCTGTTCTGAGGCAAATCATAGCGAGAAGGCCAGGATTTTCTTCCCAATTCTTGCTTGTTGTATCTCTTCTTTCTTTCATCTATTCAAGAACTTTACTGTAATAGGTTTGGTCCTGTTGGCCCCCGCAGGTATTCTATGCGCTATGTCAATGCAGTCGGTAGTGATAGCTACATTGAGTACATTCCCAATTTTCTCTAGAATTTCATATAAGTCTTCATCTTTTTCCTGAGAGACACCGTGGAATTCAAGGTTGTTTCTTCTGCTGTACTCGGAGTTATGGTTAGTCTTGTGTTTGATGTCCATGACTGCTACTTCCAGCTCTTCCACATTCTTTTCCAGCTCGTTAACTTTGCTTTCCAGGGGCCCAACTTAACTTAGCATTTCCTTTATGCATCCAAATTCTAGCATTAGTCGCTGAATGTCAGCTTTAGTTGCAGGTGCATCAGAGTTGTCAACCTCTAAGGCATGCTTGTTCACGGGCGACATAACTTCTTTGGAGCTGTCACACTTGATGCACAGAAATTCTAGAAAGTTCGGATTTAGTTGGCTTACTACTTGTTTTGCACACTTGGTTTTATGCGTTGGTTCTTTGCATCTTCCACATAATTGGGCCGACGCCCTTCCATCGAATTTTTGTTGCAAACACTGCAGTTCTCGCGCGGCGCGGCGGGGCGCATTGGTGCGAATAGCGGAGAATTTTGGTCGCACCGATTGGTGCGAATATCCACTTTGTTAATTCATTTACATACCTTGTTCTCCTTATTTTTCCCACCAGGTTTGATGACATTGAACTTCTGCCCTTCATCTTCATTTTGCACTTCAATGGACCTTAGTGGTTGAGCCAGCAGACTTTCATAGCTGCCTCCCTTTCCAGCAATCAAATCACTACAATTTGAACAAGAGCTCTTTGCTGTCATTGCCATAAGCAGTTTCTGGGGGAAAAAAAAATAATAGAGTTGTTAATAACATTAACTTAAATTTTGCAAAACGGAAGCTGAATTATTTCAAATACTTACTTGATCAAGAAAAGTAAATGGAATCGCTGTTTCAGAAATGGAAACTTGGGCGTTGTTCTGTTCCAGTTGAGGTCCTTCAGCTTCTTTTAGTTTCATTGCGTTTTGATCCCCAATGACAGGAACAACATTAAATGGTTGTAGAGAATCTACTGCTACATTCACTTAAGCTTCCGATATGGGAGAGCGTATGGGAGAGCGTAAGCGTGAAAGCGTAGCACTCGGGTAGCGATCTAACCTTACATTGGCACAAATTTTGACATCTTCTTTAAAATGGTCATAGTATCACCGCAACGTAGTCCGAATGCATGACAACACCAGAAAATGCATTTCAACACTCGTCAAAACCAAAAATGAGCCAAGATGAGGTTAGGGCGCGTACCCCCACTCCGCTCATTTACGCCCAGCCGCTGCGCTTTACGCTTACGCTTTACGCTCTCCCATACGCTCTCCCATATCGGAAGCTTAAGTGAATATAGCATACAACCTACAAAAAAATAAACAGTTAAAGATGATTGTGGATAAGATCACACGCCAGTGGTTAAAAGGCAATTACCTCTCCAAGATCACAGGGAGTATGACGGGTAGCAGCTCGAGAAACAAAACAGGGAGACTGTCGATCCACAATAGGACATGATGGCACAGATATACTAGGAACATTAGGATTATCTTCTTCAAAACTATTTCTCTGCTCCTGCTAAAATATATGCACAGAAAAAAGATAAGTTCATTCAGCAATTAACTTAAATTTACATTACTAGCTATATGTACGCCAGACCACGTCTCGCGTAACAGGCTTCGCGATATCTCACGAAACACTGTTACGCTGCGACGCGCCTGGCGCACATATAGCTAGGCCTGCGGCGCTGACACCCGACACGGGGTAATAGGAGTGTATATACAAGTTTTCGAAATGAAGTCTTTTTGTTAACGATTTAATCGACCATTTGGTCATTTTCTCCTCATTTTTGACAAGAAATGCCCCCTAGCACCTAAACGGTACAAGATAGAGCCAAACGGACGAAATTTTCGCCCAAAGGGCTCTACTTTGACAGTTTACCCCTTAGGAACGCATAAAAAAAAATTTGATAAAAATACATTTTGCGACCTGTAGTTTTTGATTTTTTTAAAAGTCAATTTTTGAGCTAGAATGCTCATCTTCGAACTCGATCTGTCTTTTTATGATACAAAATGACCCTGAAATTCCCAGATCGCTCTCTCAATTCATTCTCGAGTTATCGTGCGGACAGACATACAAACAAACAAACAGACAAACAAACAGACAAACAGAATGAAACTTTTCCGGTCAGTGGAGTAATGGGCTTCGCTAATCGCTCAGCCAAAAAGTGCTGCTAAAAGTACCTGGATGGGCGGTACAATAAGTTCTGTATCTCTCACATTAGGGAGGAACCTTTTGGGCGTAAAAGTCTTTTTCAGGTGAGCTGGGGACTGAAACATATGCTTTGAGTTAGTCGAGATTTTCCAAAGTACACATTTCAAAATACTAATAAATTTAATTTACTTTCTTAAAATGCTATAGGATATGGGTTCTGCTTCGTTGGTCCATGACATCCCTCAAAGTGGCAGGAACGGACGAAGATGCTCGCTGACAGCTTGCGAGGAGTGCCAGCCACTTTAACTTGTTTCATCCATATTCTGAACAGTGCAGGATCAGCAGGAAGTTTGTGCATTTTGCGTGAAATGTTTTCTTTTCCTTGGCCATGTAGACAAAGGGGATATGAGCACTGCCTAACCATGAGAAGATAGCTAAAACAAACAAGAACTTTTTCGTAAAAGCGGTTAAATGGCGACTATTCTTCAAGAAAACCACGCTTTTATTTGGCTACGCACCTGAAAACCTTGTAATAAGTGACGAAATGAGTTAAAATGTAATCTTCAGTTGGTTAGAGGCCAACGCACCGGCTCTTGCGCGTATCTGAAGCACGTCAACTCCGTCCGAACTACTATTTTCCTATATTGATCACTTAAAAATCTCTCTTACAGCTCCGCTAGTGTTTCGTTCCCCTCGCTCTCCCGATTAAAATGATACTAAACTCGACTCAAATAGACGCAGAATAACGTTGTTTAGGCTGATGTGCGTGCTACGAAGCGCGAGCATCTGCTAGCAGCCGACTTCCGGAAACAGTTGAATGTTTGTTGTGGTCCGTGGCGGCCATCTTGGAACTTCTTCTTGTTCTTCTAACCGCTGAAATCACTCATTCAAGAGACCCCACTTTGGCATGATAATTAAATTCACTGGAGCGTATGGGCAAAAGTTATAGAAATTGCTATATTTAGTTTGGGTTAAGAGCGTATCAGTCTCACGCTGATGTGAACAAGTTAAATTTCATGAAATTCGACCATGCTCTTGGAAGTACTGAACGAACTGATGCAAATGCAATAATGTAAACATTATTAAAAGTGAGGTTACTTACCTGCTACTAAGAATAACGTGTACCGGTACACATATTTTCCTTCAACGACGCCGTATTGGCCGCAATCTCGTTTCTTTGACTTCTCTTCTTGTTGTCTTTGCCTGAACTGCTCTGCGTCAGGTACACCGATATCACACCGTTTCCACAGCTTTTCAGTAACCTCTTTGATTTCGAGAAGACTGCTGCTCTCCAGCGTCCGAGTCTCACCACTCTTCAAGCATGTGCCTTTGAACTACATTTTTGACTAGTACAGTGAATAAATGTTAGAGTTTCAACTAATAGATGATCGGCGATCGGCGAGAACGCAAGATGGTGTGACAGTTAAAACTTGGCGCAAAGATAAACTTCGGCACGATGTTCGTTTGTTCTCCGCTCTGACAGGCATCGAAGTCAAATTCATAACAAAAACCAAGCATGGGTTACGAGTTCAAAATAAAAACGGCTTTTCTCAGCGAAAATAATTATTTATTTTAACCACTTTACTCCGCCTTTGAATTAATGATGAGTAATTTTGAAAACAAACAGACAGTAAAGAGATGGTTTTACATCATAAGTACACCTAATGCAGTTCCTACCAACGCAACAAATACCAAACTATTCCCCTCACACTTTCAAAATTAGAGATTCTTCAAACATTTAACCACTATATCGATTTTCTTGAAATCAGTTTAGCTTTTAAGCAGTTCTATCTTCTTGTGGAATGAAAGTTTTCTTCTTTAATAATATATGCTTATCTGCTTAACGTGCTTCACCTGTCAAGAAGTGTTTTGTTGAATAGGAACTGAACCTAGCAGACGATGTTTCAGTGCTCAAACACGACGATTCTTCACAGTCGCAGTCTAAATTAAAAATTAACTAATAATGAAGAATGTAAACATTTTGATAAAGCTAGGACCAATTTAAAATGTGTTTCATAAACATGTCCGGTGCAGATCCAAATCGTCGTAGTAGAGTAACTGAGTGGAGGTATAAAGATCAAGCAAAAGAGGATGTAACTTCGATGCAAAGATCTGAATTGCACAGTAAGCAAACAAAACCGGACAATTACAATCGTCTTTCTTTTACTCATTTCTTGTTGTATTTTATGCTGTGCTGTTTATGAGGTTTTAAACTTTATAAGGCACACTCATCGAATTGTATCCAGTTGGGCAGACGCATTGATGCTGAGGGAGGGAGTGATAGTACCGAATCAGGACCAGAAGTGGTATGTTCGTTTGATACGAGTATCAGATTGATTGAATGCATGTAATACTTTCTTGTTAAGTTTTCTCATTCTAGTTTTTTAAACCAATTCCTCTGTCTTATTACAATTAACTTGTTTATTTGCGTAGGATATTGATGTTTCCTGGGTTAACTACTAGTGATCCTGGCTCTTATGCGGATGGTCCCAGCCAGTGTTCAGGAGTGCACCATGTCTATGAGGTACAGTTGTTGGAGCATTAACAATTAAATCTTGTATCTCTGATTATTTTAAACGGTATTTGCTAATTTCTTCAGATGTAACCATGCCCGGATCATTTGCTGCAAGAGCATTGAAACAATTCTGTTGGGCGATCCCACCTTTAAAAAGCAATTTCGAATGGACAGGTCAACATTTGAGGTTGGGCCTCATGCCAAAATGCAAGAATTCTTAGTGTATGTGTGTATTGTTACTTTAAACCTGTTGGAATTTTTTTTTTCAGCTCCTGATTGTTGCTGTGGGCAACCACTTGCTGGCCGCTGGAAGGTGGTACCGCATTGGTAAACTGGGTCTGGACATAAATAATTGATGGTCCTCTGGATTCTAGCCACACCGGACTCTTTGAGAACTGTTAGCAGTCGTTTTGGAGTGTCTATATCTACTGTACATGATCACTACAAATGCATCATTAAAGCATTACGAGAGATGGTTGCTAATTACATCAGGTGGTCAACTGCCTACGAACAGGAAATCATTGCTGAGAATTTTGAAAATCTGTATGGTTATCCTGGAGTGTGTGGGTGCATTGATGGCAGCCACATCAACATCGCCAAGCCTTTGTATCAGGGCTAGAGATATGTAGACAGAAAGGCAAATTACTCCATCATACTGCAAGGTGTTTGTGATGACAATATGTTAATTCGAGCCATTTATGTTAGGCAGCCAGGGAGTGTTGGTGACAAACGCACCTTCAGAAGAAGTAGACTTGGACAGAGGATTTTGAGGTACCCTGCAGGTGCTATGGAAACCCAAAGTCTCTTAGGGGATGGAGGATACACTCTCATAGAAAAGGTATATTACCAGTTACGTTTGTGTTTCTACCTCTCAAAATATCTGCAATGTTAATTAAGTCTCATGTTTTTCTGGCAGGTTATTATTCCATACAAAGACAATGGTGCCTTGACACCACGTCAGCGAATCCACAACTATTATCATGCACAGTGCAGGTCAATAATAGAAAGGGCTTTTGGACTTCTTAAAGAAAAGTGGAGAAGATTGAAACTTCTGCAGTCTTAATGTCTAGAGTTTGTAGTGGACCACATAACATCATGTGCAGTTCTTCATAACTTTATTATATTGGAAGGAGATGCTTTGGAACCGGTAAGTTTTTAGGGTTCTTGGCGTTTACATTTTCAAGTCATCAGGAACATCATAATGTTTGAGTTTGTTATGCAGGACATGGAACCTAAACCAGACCTGGATGATGATGATGTGAACTTGAGGCAGTTATGACAACAGGCAAAACTTGATGGTGCATTGAGACGAGATTTCAATGCTGATTATTTATATCGTGGGTAATGGTGTGCTACTTTTTCTTTTAATTGGGACTGCTGTCATCGGTGATGATGCATTTAGTTTCATCTCTACAGTACAATAGTCCCTTGTACTGTGGAGGTAATATTTTGTATGCACTCTTGCCGAAGTATAGTCTTTAAGATCTTTAGATAAAGAAAAATGTTACAAGAGATTTTGATTTCTTTGTTATAGTTCTGTTTCTGCTGATGAGTTGTTATTCTGATATTCTTATTCTATGTTAAGCTCAATAAAGAAATACAATTTCAAAACAACATTTAATTGAGTTGAACGAATTACACTTCTGAAGCTGCATCACAAACCTGTAACAGCATTCTACAATAATGTCATCAGGTCTACATTAATATGTATTCCAGGTACAATAGAGTATCACAACTTTTATTATTAAAAGAGATTTAGTACATGTCAATTAAGAAAGCTCACTTGAAAACAACGTACAGTAACATACATGAGACATAATACTAGCATTAGCCTGTACTGGTAGCTAATTGAATCCAAAACACTTGTGTATCATTATTACAGTCTTAAGATTTGGTTAATATCAATTTATAATTCTGTCATTAAAGCAACAAAACACAACATTCATTAAGTCAGGCGCTTAAGTAAACTAAATTTTTAAAGCTACAATATCAGAAATCTTTAATAAATAAGTAGTAGAACAGCACATCATATCGTACTTCAGTGCTTATTCTGAATAGGAACACACTTGTATCACAATTAAACTCATAAAGATTTGGTCAATATCAATCTAAAATTACTTGTTTAAAGGAACAAAATCACAAACATTCATTAAGTCTGTCATTGAAATAAACCCAGTTTTTTAAGCTGCAATATCACAATTCTGTGATTAAATACTAGAAAAACACAGTGTACTTTTGAAAAGAAACACACATGTATCACAATAAAAGTCTAAAGATTTGGTCAACATTAATTTAAAATTATTTTGTTAATGAAACAAAGTCCACAACATTCATTCTTTTTTGAATTTTTGTAGTTCACTGAATTTTAAAGCCGTATTTCACAATTGCAATAAAATACTAGCATAGCACAGCAAAAAAATTAAAAAAGAATGAAGTCCTGCAGATAATATCTAGCTTCAGTCAGAATCTGAAGAATCTGATGAGCCACTCCCGTATTCAATTTGCTTTTGTTTACTTTTATTTTTGCTTTTACCCGATTTTTTTCCTTGGCCCTGCTGCTGTGCGATTGGCATGAGGACATCACTTCTTTTCTAATTTGCTAGAACTATTCTTTCCGCCCTGCTCCTCTTGCCTCTAAGTATAACTGGTCTTGTCCTCCCACCAACTCAAAAGGTGTGGGATACTGTCTGCTCGTCCTGGAAATTTTTAAGCCGGTAAACTCTGTTCCTGTAGGAAAGAATTAGGTGCATTGAACAATGATACTTACACTGGTATTTAGCTTCAATTTTGAGGCAGTGACGCCGACAGAAGAGGTAACATTGGGTCTGTAGGTAACGTCGCCTTGCAAAAGTTCTGCCATAAGGCCTATGATGGGCTGTTCCTCTCTTGAAATTCCTAGCAGTGAAGGGGCAGCAGCTCCTGTACCTTGGTGATTGTCATCAAAGTCCTTTTGCTGTCTTTTGAGTGTATCCATGCGATTCTCACATTGCTTTGCAATGTACAAATTTGTACAAATTTCTGTTTGTACAATTCGAGACAGCGGACCAGAAATCACTATGCTTCACAGGCTTGTCATACTCTTCAAAATTCTCAATACATATTGTGATAAGAGCCTTGGTGGCTGGAATAGACCAAGTTGCAACTAAAGGAGAACACAAAAATGGTAAACTAACTTGACTATAATAGGTGGGGGCTTAGTGGTAGAGCGGGTCTTCAGCCTGTGTGCTATATCTATATCAGCAGGTGTAATATCTAATTCTAATACAGTTCCTACTGATGCAACTAGTGCATAGACATTTCATCCCTCTCATAGGGAATACCATGGATTTCTATGTTGTTCCGTCTGCTGTACTCAGCGTTGAAGTTAAGAGTCTTGGCGGCTGTTTCACTAAGTTGCTTGACCTCTTCCAGTTTTTTATCTATTGCTACCACTTGGTGCACAAGTGGTTCAATTCGGCTCTGGACAATAGTTTTATGAATGTCCTTTATTTCTCGTAGCAAGCTCTTGATGTCAGCCTTGGTGGCAGTTTCGAGATCTGCCGGGTCGACCCTAACCTCACCTCCGTCACACTTGTTGCATACGAGTTCTTGTGCATTAGGATCTAAGCCATTGTTTAAAGTTTTTGCACATTTGGCCTTGTGCACAAATAAGGAACACTTGGAACACTGTTCAAATTTAGATCTTCCATCACTTTTAGCTCTACAAACTCCACACAAATCACTCATGGTGCACGCGCGGCACCGTCTTTCTGCAAATATTTTTTTAGGGGTCTTTAAGGGGTAACTCGTGAAAGTAGAACCCTATGGACGAAAATTTCGTCCGTTTTGCTCTATCTTGCACCATTTGGGTGCTAGAGGGCATTTCTTGGCAAAAATAAGGTGAAAACGACTAAAAATGGTCTATTAAGTCGTAAAAAGGGCCTTTTATTGAAACAGTGTGCAGAAGTAATACTAAAACCACACAGTTGACGTCGAACCACACCCTTCTTTAAGCTCAAGGGTCCCTAGATTATCTAGTATCACTAAAACGTTAATTTTTACATAAGAATCTATCAAAATTCGAACTTTTAATCGAACAGTAGAAGGTTAATTTCCCTAATTTTAAAGTAAAAATTCCCCGACAAATGCTGTGAGTATGTGAAATTTTGGAGCCGGAAGGCTCTGTTCCCGAATACCCTCCCACTAACTCGTCTCGGGTGTCAGCGCCGCAGGCCTAGCTTTATGTGCGCCAGGCGCGTCGCAGCGTAACAGTGTTTCGTGAGATATCGCGAAGCCTGTTACGCGAGACGTGGTCTGGCGTACATATAGCTAGTTTTAGAGTGAGACCCCCAGAAATTGTTCGAGTATGTCAAATTTTGGGCCCGGAAGGCCCTGTTCCCCTATACCCTCCCATTTGCTCGCCTCGGGTTTCAGCACCGCAGGCCTAGCTATATGTGTGTCAGGCGCGTCGCAGCGTAACAGTGTTTCGTGAGATATCGCGAAGCCTGTTACGCGAGACGTGGTCTGGCGTACATATAGCTAGTGTAATGTAAAGCAATTTGACTTTTTCGGCGTTGAAATGTTGCATTGCCTCTTTTTGGCTGAGCGATTAGCGAAGCCCATTACTCTACTGACCGGAAAAGTTTCATTCTGTTTGTCTGTCTGTCAGTTTGTTTGTCTGTCCGCACGATAACGCGAGAAAGAATTGAGAGAGCGATCTGGTAATTTCAGGGTCGTTTTGTATCACGATACACATTTATGCATAAAAAGACAGATCGAGTTCGGAGATGAGCATTCTAGCTCAAAAATTGACTTTTAAAGAAAATCAAAAACCACAGGTCGCAAAATATTTTTTTTTTCGAATATTTTTATAAAGGCTCCTAAGGGGTAAGTCGTAAAAATAGAGCGAGCCCCCTAGACGAAAATTTCGTCTGTTTTGCTCTATCTTGTACCGTTTGGGTGCTAGTGGGCATTTCTTGGCGAAAACAAGATGAAAATGACCTAATGGTCTACTAAATCATTAGAAAGGCCTCATATTGACAAATTGTACGGGAAGTTATGCTACAACCACACAGTTGACGTCGAACCACACCGTCCTTTGGGCATAAGGAATACTAGATTATCTAGTATCATCAAAACGTTGATTTTACATAACAATGTGTTGAAATTCGTACTTTTAATGAATACGTTTACCGAACAGTAGCAGTTTCGTTTCCCTAATTTTAAAGTAATAAGTAGCCGACAAATGCTGTGGGTATGTCAAATTTTGAGGTCGGCCCTGTTCCTGAACACACTCCGATTAACTCGTCTTGTGGTCAGCGCCGCAGGCCTAGCTATATGTGCGCCAGGCGCGTAACAGTGTTTCGTGAGATATCGCGAAGCCTGTTACGCGAGATGTGGTCTGGCGTAGGTATAGCTAGATTAGGGGGCTAACCTCTGAAACAAGTGGTCATTCATGAATCGTAAATCAATCATCACTTGACGAACACATAAATCGACACACTACGGCTTACCTTCACGCTCTCGTTTATCCATCCTGTTCAACTATCAATGTATTCTTCTCGTGCGTGCTAGAATTTTGAGAACGCCTCACCTTTACTCAGGAACGCAATCTCACATAAATCATCATGCACGTAAGAAAGGGCGCGGAATTGTGCGTTATTCAGTTGTCGCTTTCGCGTAGTGGGGAGACGGCGGTAGGGTGGGCAACAGCCGAGCAAAAATGTTCCTTGTACGCGAGGGGGAAATCACTTGCGTACTAGCTCGTTCACCCAGGCCTGTACTAAACACGTACTAATTCGTACTAACAGCGTAATAACGCGTATTAATGGTAAAAATCAAGCGTAATATTGCCGTAATAAAATTATTTTGCATACATGATGAAAAGTTGCGCAAAAAATAGGGTGTACTAACGTGTACTAACGTACTACCTCGTACACACAGATCTGGAGTGATTTCCCCCTCGCTTGTACGCGCATCATTGCAAGTATCGAAATTTCCCTTTTCTCAAAAACGTATAATTCCATGCAATTCAGCCCGAATCCATGCACTTATGCGAGTGTGAAGCGAAAAGAGCGTGTCTGGAGATATCCGTCCGTCCATCCGCATCTTAACCGAAAAGTCTCCTGGTCGATCAGGACAGGATAAACGACGAGGAAGGAGTCCTCTAGTGCCCCGGAATCTTTCAGGACCAGTTCAGTCAGTTGCCCTGGCTATACATAGGTACTGAAAACTTTAACCTCGTTTTTCTCGGAATCAGGCCGTAGTTTTGGAGCTATCGACTTAATATTTGGCCCGAAT